ATATATATATATATATATATATATATATATATATATATATATATATCCATCCAAGCACTGCACTTTGTATAAATTCCCCTTCTCCATTTTCTGGTTAGGCTTTCCAGACATTTCAAAGCCTGTGTAGCCAGGCTGGAACAGATCTTGCCCGTTTCTAAACAGGCTACACCTACTTAGTTTAGGACGCTTTAAAGCTACCCAGTTTCTATGAGTGTGGTTAGATGGCAGTAAATACAAAGTAATGAAAAATACTTCCCTAAGAAAATGATTTGGGATGAAACCTGAATTTTCACTACTATATAAAGGCTGACCCTAAGCTGACCTGCCTATTTTGCCTGACACACACATAGAAATACAGAACAAAAATCACTTTTTTGGTAAAGCAAGAATAAAGACTTCTCAAAAAAAAAAAAAAAAAAAAAAAAACCCAAACAAACCCATATATACATGCATAACTTGAAAGTAACTAAGCTTATGTGTGATTTTTTTTTTTTAAGGATTAGATATTCTGGGAAATGTGTAACCAGCTCTCTAAGCCCTTTGTGGCTATATTATAATTTTAACCATTTAGTAGACTTCAAAATTGATGGTTCTTAACATGGTATGTGCAGAATAAAGTTAAAGACAGGAAACACCCAAAAGCATGCGGTTCTGTACCGGCCCCTGAGGCAGAGCTTTTGTTTTTGTTTTTGCTTTAACCAAAGACTGCAACATGAAAGACAACTGGGAAAAGCTCATTTACTAATTTTGAGAACCTAGGGGAAAAGTCTGACTATAAGACTTGATGACACAAATGTATATAATTAGAAAATATAAGAATTAAAAAAGAATTATCACTGAAAATATAGCACAACTTCAGCTGTTTCCTCCAAATTTACTTTATAATTGGGTGGATATAAATTAATAAACAGAAATTAAGCAAGATGTATGTAACAATTGAACAGAACCTGATAATCTAGTTTCAGTATTTCCCAAGTCATCTTTAAGTCTTTCCATCATGGGGTTCATCGGGAAAATAAGCAGCGTGTGAACGCTTCGGCTGAATGTCAATGAACTGTATATGACACAATGTCTTCTATAATGCAGTTATGAAGAACCTTCAAGAAACTTCTGAATGTAAAAAAGTGTTAGTCAAATACTCAACACAATACAAAAGAACCACTTCTGATCTGTTAGGTGGAGAGCACTTTTGCTCATCATTTTTAACTATAATATCACTGAGTCGAAGGAACAAATCACCTTGAGAACAGAAGGCGAAATAAACACATGCTAAATGGATAAAACATTACATCTTTACTAGACCATCTCTACCTCTAACACTTCAGAAGTTTAGAGACTTAGAGTATTCTTACATTAATTGCAAGAAAAAGGAAAGGAGAAGTTCCTTTGAGATCACAACTATGAAGTCATATGGTTATACAAATCCTGCTGCATTGGTGTGCGAAACATGAAACACATTTACCTTTCTTGTCAGTCACCCAGCAAGACTTAACGGACACCTTCCTAAGAAACAGACTAGATGTGTTTCTGTAACTTCAATAACCTCAGCACTACAGTAACAAGAGATGCAGTATCCTTTTGCTATGGTTCCAGACAGCGGGGAAAGAGGTCACAGGAAAGAGAATCAAAACTGTTACAGCTGAAAACTACTTCTTGTTAAGTTTCACCATGGTGCCACCTTCATTTTTACATAAGCATGGTGGCATAGTTCAAAGGTCAATAAATCAGAAATATTAATATTTAAATTTCAACTTGACTTTCAATTATCACCATATTAACAACCAAAACAATAAGATAAGACACACAAGGAAGGGGATATCAAATCCACTTTGCTAGTGTTGGTTTCCTGACACATCAACTCATTTTTAATAGAAAAGGGATAGTGCATCTCAGTTTGCTTACAAGCTAGGAGATCACTTTGAATTCTGCATTTCCTAACTGCAAACAGAATATAGCACTTACAACAGGTTATAAATAAACTGGTTTTCAAGCATAGAGCCAGCCCCAACGATAATAATACACTATTTAAAAAGACCTAAGGCAATGAATTCCATTTCCAATGGAAAAAAAGAACTGTGCAAACAAGCTTAAAACTACTTTTTTGTGCCAGTGTTATAAAATGTAGCTTTTAATAAAACCTTGACCCAAATGCCAGTAACTTTTCAGAAAAGAATTTGGGTGGAAGGGAGAAGAAACTTATCTCATTTAGGAAGAAAAATAACAACTATCTTTTTCCTAATCTTCAATACACACAATTTAAACATGTACAGTTGCTGTAACACTTTACACAATTCCTATGTACTGGAGCAAGAACAAGGTCTAATAACAATTATATTTTAAACACTGGGTCAAGGCTTTACATAAAAATACCATCCATCCTACTTTCCCGTAAGTTTCTAAAATATCACATACTTTCCTCAACATCTGCAGCCATCCAGGAATTTTTAGGAAACTTTTGTGCATGATCTTAATTCCTAATCCCTGGCTCTTTGGGCTCAGTGACAAAAGATCAGAACCACCAAAAATGATGGTTCACTTGAAGTCCGACAGAGACCCTGGCTCAGTTAGTCTCATAGGATGAGAGCAGAGCTGCATCAACTGGCTCCATGCAGGAGGGGCACGTGAAGGATCTCATCAGCCAGTCATCTATACAGTCCAGATGATAGATGTGCATGCACGGCAGAAATCGGATTGGGTCCCCATAAACAAAGTCCATCATACAGATCACACACCTATAGGGACAAGGAAGAAATCAGAAAATTTCACATAAGTGGCCTATCCCAGAATAGTCTTTACAAAGACAGTGTTAACCCAAATGAACACACACACACAAGCAAAACACACACCAAAAATAAATAAATCTTTAAAATGTTTTTTTAAAAACTTCCCCTGTTAACTCATTACCAAAGCATGCAAACTGAAATTTTCCTAACATGCACTGACCCATCAATATTCTTCTATTTTGATCTTTTGTTAATTTATAAGCCTTGAGAGCAACTAACTGAGCAAAGAAAAACAGACTGCATTAAGGATCAAACTCATGCTGTGTCTAAAAATAGTTACATATTACAGGAGACTATGATGTTTTAGGTAGGAAATTAGATCAACTGTTTCCTTGCACTGATTTTTCAGAGTAAACAGGAGTAGTATTCATTAACAATGACATGTAAAAACAGAATGACTGGGCCTGGAGTGGTGGTGCACGCTTATAATTCTAGTACTCTGGAGACTGAAAGAAGCAGGTGGATCTCTGTGAGTTTGGCCAGCCAGGGCTATTGAGTGAAAGACTGTCTCAAAAATAAAGCAAAACCAGAATGACTAATTCCAGTCTACTCCCATCGATGCTCTAAACTAAAACTGTCTCCTTTAACACTTTCAAATCCACTGCTCTTTTCTATAGGTTTAAGAAGAAATCCAATTCTACAGAGGTTCAAAGCTAGTGCTTTGCAGACTTTGCTCTTCAGTACCAGGATTAATTAAACGGTGCTATAGCTCACACAGACAAACATCATCCCAGTAAATTAGATGGTCTGTGTTGGTAAGGATCTTTCTCAAAATAGCTGTCCCTATTAAATCAAGACAATAAAATTCCTCATCAGGCTTGGAAAAACTTTCAGAAGTTATGAAAGAATTCTCTCCTATCACTAAAAACTTTTAAACAGTTTCAATGGTTGAGGCTGATGACAAACTGTCCTCCCACTGACTTGTGTTTGAATACATGGACCCCAGCTATGACACCGTTTGGCAAATAAAACCTTTACATAGGCCAGTCAAGGACAGGCCTTGAAGGCTATATAGTCTAGCCATCTATGCTGGTTAGCTTTTTGAGGGAACCACTTCTGAGAGAATTCCTCCAGACTGGCCTGTCAGAGTGCATGTCTACAGAGGCATTTTCTTTATTAAGACTGATGTGGGAGGGTCTGGATCACTGTGAGCAGTGCTACCCCTGGGCAGGTGGTCCTGGGTGGTATAAGAAAGCAAACTGAGCAAGCCATGTTGGGAGTAAGCCAGTAAGCATCATTCCTCCATGGCCTCTGCTTCAGTTCCTGTCTTAACTCCCCTGGATGATGGACAGTAACCTCTAAGCCAAATAACTCTCCTTGGAGTAGCTTCAGTCAGTGTTTTCCCACTGTGGCAGAAAGTTCCTAACACCCTTGCTCCATTCTAGTCCTCAGCTTCCTCACAGTCCCACCAACACAGACAAGAGGAATTCCTGCTGCCATGCCGTTCCCACCTTGAGAGACTGGGGGTTCCCTGAAGTCATGAGTTAGAATGAAGCCCCTCCCTTAAACTGCTTGTGTCAGTTACTTTATCAAACAATGAGAAAAATAATACAGCCATATGGCCTAAGGAAAAAAAAAATTTTTTTTGAGATAGGGTTTCTTTGTGCTGTCCTGGAGTTCATTATGTAGACCAGGCTGGCCTCAAATTCAGAGATCTGCCTGCCTCTGCCACCCTAAAGTGCTGGGATTAAAGGCGTGTGGCAACATGCCTGGCTAATAAAGTATTTCTGATTCACAATTTACTTAACTATACCTCCATTGTTGGCCATTTATATAGTTTATATTTTTACTCCTCAATAAGTAAACATTTTGTGCCTAATGCTCTAGTATTGTTTGGCGTGGGGTGGGGGTATAACTGCCTAGAACCTTAGTTCAGAGTTTAAAAAAGGTTTAACTCCTATTTCTTTACAAAAGTTTAACTCCTTGGAAAACTGACAAATCACTTTCATAAAATAAGCTAACAGAAACATCACATTTACACAGGTAAATAGTTTTAACTGTCATCTAAATGGACAACAAGCAACTATAATGATCAGAATGCAAGACTTCTCCTTTATTGCTACATTTAACTTGGGTTTCCCAATATAGAATTTCATAGAATTCCTAAATAAACAAGAAAAAGGCAAATTCCAAAAGCTAAAGTTTATGGTTGAAAACAGTTTAGTGGTAGAACACCTAGGTTCAATCTCCAGTATCATTTTAAAAAAAGAAAGAGCTACATACAAATCTCTAAAATATATAAAATTACTACTTACTCTCGGATCTTTTTTTCTGATCCATCTCTTCCAGGGTCGTAAACTCCTTTAGGCAGATGCTGTATAAGGCCTATTCTCTGAGCTATTCTAATTTGTTCCTCTTCAGTCAGCTGAGTTGCTAGCCGAGTCTGGCTAGGTGTTGGATGATAGACGGGAACGGGAACTTGTTCCTAAATATGAAAAGTGCAGGGAAAAAATTGGTATTTTAAAACTCATTTTCTGGGGTGTATTAAATTACTTACCCAGTGCTGTGGGATGGTCTGTATGCCAAATTACTCTGATTGGTCAATAAATAAAACACTGATTGGCCAATGCCTAGGCAGGAAGTATAGGCGGGACTAACAGAGAGGAGAAAAGAAAGAACAGGAAGGCGGGAGGAGTCACTGCCAGCCACCGCCATGACAAGCAGCATGTGAAGATGCTGGTAAGCCATGAGCCATGTGGCAAGGTATAGATTTATGGAAATGGATTAATTTAAGCTATAAGAACAGTTAGTAAGAAGCCTGCCACGGCCATACAGTTTGTAAGCAATATAAGTCTCTGTGTTTACTTGGTTGGGTCTGAGCAGCTGTGGGACTGGTGGGTGACAAAGATTTGTCCTGACTGTGGGCAAGGCAGGAAAACTCTAGTTACAACCCAGAGAAGGAAAATGGGCCCTGAGATAAGTGGGAGGCTGGATAAACATGCAGCAGTCTTAACTGTAGTATCTCACTGACTTTAGACACTTGTCTATGATAAAAAATGGGAGTTACCCTTTACCACTGTAACTGAGAATATGAGCATCTTCATCTTAGACATACTTCAAAGTGTAAACAAATTTCAATGCAGACAAGTCCTACTATGATGCTTATTAACTACGTACAGCATTGACCAAGTTATTTAACATCTGTGCCTCAACTTCTCATGTTTAAAGAGGGTCACTATAAAAGTTAAATGGGGACTTTAAGTGTTGTCCTTACCACTATACATTAATACACCTGAAAGCTTAAGTATGTATCGGCTAGGATTACAAGTCTGATACTCTATGACTGCAGAACAGCATTTCAAAATCAATAAGAAGAAATGTACTGGAGGCAGATGTGGTTTCACATACCTTTAATCCCAACAGAGATTGAGAATCAAGGCCAGCTAGGGCTACAGGGTGAGTAGAGGCTAGCCTGGGCTACACAGTGAAGACTTTGACTCAAAAAATTGAAGGAAAAAAAAAAGATTCATTGGATTTTAGTGAAAGTAAACTTATAAAATCATCCATGACAAGGACTATGTCTATATTTGCTCCTGTTTCTTGTCATCTTTCTGGTTTAAGCCAAGGTTTCTCTATGTAGACCAGGGTAGCCTCCAACTTCATCTGCCTCTGCTGGGATTAAAGGCTAACTCCACCCTGCACAGGCTCTGCTCCTCTGTATAGAATGGTCTTTGATAAGATGAAACAAAAAGTCTACTAAAAAGTTACCTACCCCAGGGATTTATTTCAGTTTATTGTATCAAACATTTCCTGAACTCTACAGCCCATTGTTAAATATCTAGTTAAAGCTTGAGTTCAAGCCACAACACTTGAGTCTTTTGGTTTTGTTTTGAAGTATATTTTTAGGAGTGACTGAAAATGGTGGTCACTTCTGCCGCCTCCTCCTACCTCAAAATGCAAACCTTAAATGTTTACCAATTAATCATTTCCTATATACAAGGAAACAGCACAGAAAGATAATTATAAACCATTTTATAAAATCGAACTAAATCTGGCCTTCAAAAGTCTGTATAAGCATAAATCATCAGTAGAGATAGTTTGCCAAAACATACTTGGAGACTGGCTACTACTGATTGGAAAGGTCCTTGGATACCTATCTCCACAAGAATAACCTAAGTCCACTGGCTGTAACCATCTCTATCTAAGAATACAAAGATAGTTACTTTGTGTTTGGACTACCAGTAATTATCATGTCCTAGGCATATAATTCCAACTCAAACATTACAAGCTACATTATTGAAAATCTGCCTGGCGGTGGTGGCACACACCTTTAATCCTAGCACCTGGGAGGCAGAGGCAGGTGGATCTCTGTGAGTTCGAGGCCAACCTGGTCTACAGAGTGAGTTCCAGGACAGGCACCAAAACTACACAGAGAAACCATCTCGAAAAACAAAAACAAAAAATAATAATGTTAGGTTGGGGGGAGGTCACCACAACATGAGGAACTGTATTAAAGAGTGGCAGCATTAGGAAGGTTGAGAACCACTGCTCTAGGTTCACTAGGGAGGCAGAGGCAGGAGGATCTCTGTGAGTTCAAGGCCAGCCTGGGCTACAGAGTGAGTTCCAGGAAAGGCCAAAGCTACAGAGAAACCCTGTCTCGAAAAAACAACCAAAAAAAAAAAATTGAAAATTTAAGGTATTCACATAACATCAGAATTTTGCAACATGTCATTAAAAAATTAATGATTTAGACTAAGGCACTTTAGACTAAAAGCAAAAGGGAAAACTTGATGCAAATTACAATCAGCATTTCTTCTCCAAGTGACAATGCCTGGCTTACTGCTTTAGATTTAACTTGGGTCCAAAAGCAAACTATATTTCTGCTGCTTCTACAACCTTCTCAACTGAGAAATTCCAAGCTGTCTATCTGGGTTAAAGACAGAGAAGTATAATGAAAAAGAGAAAATTTAATACAATTTTAGACCTGGCACTTAAACATGATTTTGGAATATTACTTAATACCTCTGAACCTTAGGGTTCTAGACAGCAAACCAGTTTTTTTTTTTTTTTTAAAGACTGTTATATTAGCAAGTGGTGTGGTACATACGTATAATCCTAGCACAGGGGAAGTAGAGGAAAGATTGCTTCCAGCTTAAGACCAGTCTGATCTATATAACAAGTTCTAGGTTAGCCAGGGATACATAGTGCAAACCTATCTCAAGTAGATAAAGATAAATAAGAGGTAAGAAAAGCATAAATATACAGGTGCTCAGTATCTAGGCCACTCTATGATGACCTCATTTAGTCACCCAAGGTGGCTAGTTCATCCTCTGATTCCTCTAACTCCCTCCTTTCCCTTTATTGTACTGATTTCTTTCCCTTTACGTGTATTTCTGTATTTAGTGTTTACGTCTGAGGTCAGAGAACAACTGGGGGAGTTGGTCTTCTCCTTCCACTATGTGGGTCCAGGGGACTGAACACGTCCTCACATCTGGCATACCTATTACTTGCTGAGCCATCTCATGCCCCCAACTCCCCCCTTTCTGAGATAGAGTCTTGATAGGTAAGCCCAGGTTGGACTCCAGTTTTAGCTTCCCAAGCACTGTATTATATAGTCTTATCCAACCATCACTGATAGGAAACAGATCTGTTCTACAAATCCAATTTTTGAGATAATGTGGAATTCATAATTTGTAACTGGAGAAGCAAACATATTTCAAAACCGTAGTTTCTTTAATGTTTTGTTTGATTTCTCACATGAATCTGCATTGGGGGTGGGGAGTTGAAAAGTATTTACCCTAAAGGGATAATTTTTTTTTTTTGAGACAGGGTTTCATTGTGTAGTTCTGGTGCCTGTCCTGGATCTCACACTGTAGACCAGGCTGGCCTCGAACTCACAGAGATCAGCCTGGCTCTGCCTCCTGAGTGCTGGGATTAAAGGCGTGCACCACCACTGTCCTAAAGGGACAATTTTAAATTAAAATGTTCCTCTAGAAAAATGAAGCATTATAGAAAATACAATATAAATTGGACAGAAGACAGTAAAATATGTTGATTAAGTATGCTCAGACAGGGCAAAGAGAAATGATAGGGTTAGATAACCACCCTCTCTCAAAAAAAGCAGGTTCTGACACACTAAGAAAATTCTATATAACATTTGTTGTTGTGCTGGATGCTGGAGATCAAACCCATGGCCTTGTACATGCTTAGGTCAAACTACATTTCTAGATCCTTGTTATATATAATAAAGCATCTATATAGAATGACAAATGTTGTCAATAATACTTTGGGGCTCTAACATAAATCAAGAAAGAAACAAATGAAAACATAATGCGTGCTTTTAATCCTAGCATTTGGGAGGCAGAGGAAGAAGGATCTGTGAGTTTGAGGCCAGCCTGGTCAACACAGTGTGTTCCAGGACAACCACCCCTGTTCAAGTCCTGCCCCTCCACCCCCCAAAAGAGAAAATGTAAAATGTGTCAGCACTATAAAGCTGGATTCAATTCCAGCATGGTAGAATATACCTGTAACCCCTGCAATTCAGATGGAGGCAGGAGAATCAGAAGTTCAAGGTCATCCTTGGCCACACAGCAAGTTTGAGGACAGCTCATGTTACACGAGACCCTCTCTCAAAAGTTGTTTTATTCAAGCTAGAGAGTATGATACAATTTCCGAAACTAAAACAATGCAATGGGGACATGCCTAAATAATATCCAAGGCTGGAAATAGTACAAGTCTGGCTTCTGGTGAAGGAAAAATAAAGTCACTACTAAAGAATGCAGCCTGTCACCAACAGCTGTATATTTTCAGCCAGTAGGAAATAAGAGCTCACTCTTGATTTTTCTCCTTACACGCTGCTGCTGGCACCACCTCCTCTCCAGCTGCAGTCTCTTACTGGGAATGTTTTCTCTAAATTTTGCCAGACTTACACTTAAGGCCATAAAAAGGAAGATTTGAAATAGTTGGTCTCAGTGTATATTTTAGTCCAGATGATTCATTAATTTTGACCATAAAAGGGGGGGAGGACCCCAACAAAGCAAGATTACATTTATATGTAGGTCCCCAATGATACATACATGGAGAAATAAAAGCCTGCACATCATCTATGATACTAAAACATTACTTTACATTTAATGATATAAGCCAGATTATTTGCATGTCTGAAAAAGAGCACTCCAACCAGGGAGGTGGGCTGATGTTTTTTCTTTAAGGCAGGGTCTCATGTAGCCTAGACTGTTTAGTAGCCAAGGATGAACTTCTGATCCTCCTGCTTCTATATCCTGAGTTGTTGAGATCAGTCGTGTGCTACATCTAAGATTAGTGTCCAACACATCCTCACATTCCGATCTTCACTTAGGTTAAGCAAACAAGAACTCTACCATCTGAACCATAGCCTCAGCCTCATTTTATCACGTTTAGGGGCTAGAGATGACTCAACAGTTAACATTCTGAGTACATGCAGAGGACTCAAGTTCAGTTCCCAAC